GTCCGTAGCTGACAAATTACAGAAATCATTTTATGTAGACAATTGTTTGACGGGTGTAGACAATGAGAATGATCGAGATTCTTTGGTAAGACAAGCATAAGACATTTTGAGGCTTGGAGAATTCAACCTAAGGAGATGGGCTGGAAACTTTGAGCCAACAACACAAAACGTTTTAGGGTTAAAGTGGGACTGTTCTTCAGACACTTTGTTTTGTAATGTTTCATTTTCAAACTTGGAACCTGAGGAATTAACTCGAAGATCATTACTATCCCACACACAAAAAATCTATGACCCCATAGGTTTTACTGCCCCTATGACACTCATCCCAAAAGTTATTTTGCAAAAGACTTGGAGTTTAAAAATTGGATGGGATGATAAATTACCAGAACATCTCCAGTCTGAGTATCAAAAATGGTTTGAACGAACACCAATTATTGAGGAGTGTTAAATTCAACGTCGAATCATTATGAATAACTCAAGCACACTTCATGTGTTCTGTGACGCTAGCAAATCCGCTTTTGGAGCCTGTATATTTCTGAGGACTGAAGCTGATGATGCTGTACATGTTAGTTTAGTGCTAGCCAAATCTAGAGTTTCGCCAGTGAAACCAATTACGTTACCAAGGTTGGAACTGATGGCAGCACTCCTTGGTGTAAGACTTTGTACCTTGGCTCTTCAATGTCTAAGTAAACCTGACTTACCTTGTTTCTTTTGGTCAGATTCTTCTGTTACACTAGCTTGGATTACCAATCAAGGGAAATGGTCTGTATTTGTAAACAATAGAGTCAAAGAAATAAATAAGTTTAGTAATCCATCGCAATGGAGATATGTTTCCAGTCATGCAAATCCCGCCTCAGACCTAATTTCAAGAGGTTGCTTACCACAACAGTTACTCAATTCACAATGGTGGAATGGACCAACATGGTTGTATAGCAATGCTTGGCCAACTGAAAATCCTTTACCTGACAGAGAAACAGTTGAGAGTGAAAAGAAGAAGTCAGTGATTACCGCAAGCACCGTTGAGACCTTATCAATTGCTGTCATGTTAGGACAAAGATTTTCTAAATACTCTTCGATTGTAAGAACCATAGCTTGGATGTTACGGTTTAAAACCAAGAAGAAGAGCTCGGACATAACGTCAGAAGAATTTCAACAAGCAGAGAAATTACTGTTTAAACTTGTGCAAAGAGACAGTTTCAATGGAGAGAAGAAAAGTAAACATTTAAGTGGAGTTAAAACCATTATTGATGAAGATGGTCTTATAAGATTGAATACAAGATTACTGGATCAAGAATACAGCAAAGAATATACTCACCCAGTTGTGTTACCATCTAATCACATTATAACAGAACAAATGATTGAACAATTTCTCGTCGAGGAAGAGTAAATATCATCTATACCGATAATGGGACCAATTTTGTTGGTTTGAGTAATCAACTTAAGAATCTTAACTGGAGTAAAATTCAAAATGAATTCAACTTAAAGAATATCGTTTGGAAATTCAATCCTCCTGCTGCTCCTTGGTGGGGAGGTTTCTGGGAACGTTTGGTGAGGATTCTGAAAGAGCTACTGAGACGAAACTTACGAAGTGCTTCACTAAATCATGAAGAACTGAACACCTTGGTATGTGAGTGTGAAGGTATTATGAACAGTAGACCTCTCACATACATCTCAGAAGACACTGAAGATTTAAAACCCCTGACACCATCTATGTTCATCCAATCTATACAAGGTAATGATGTATCAGATTTAGATTTATTAGAGAAGACAAGTTTGAACAGTAGATGGAAGTATATACTAAGAATTCGAGAAGGACTAAGAACAAGATTTCAAAAGGAATACTTGGGTTTTCTAAATTCCTCTAAAAAGAACGTAAACAAAACTTGTGAAATCAATGTGGGAGACATTGTACTCGTCCATTCAGAAAATAAACGAAGAGTTTCTTGGCCTCTTGGAAAAGTGATCAAAATATTTCCTGGGAAAGACAAAGTAACAAGACTTGTAAAAGTAAGAACGAAAAATGGAATTTATTTACGACCTATTCAACGGCTTTATCCACTTGAAGTTCAATCTAAGGATGACCACATTCATAAAGCTCAAAATTATCAACCTGAACCTGAAACTCATTATAATACGACAAAAGGAAAAGAAGAGACAAATGTGAAGACTAATGAAACACAAGTTCAGACCCAAAGTGGGAGAAGAATAAAAAAGCCAACCAAATTGGACTTGTGAAAGAGTTTGAAGTTTTTTTAAAAGGGGGGAGAATGTTGGAAATGTTTAACTTTTTAACTTAGTCCCCTTTGGATTATTTTTTATCAACACTTTGAGAAACACATGTTATTAATTTGCATATGTCTAAATAATGTTATAATTGTTTTGTAGAAATATAATAAACAAAAAAAATGTAACTTTTTAAAACTGGTTTATTTTAATTTTTGTAGAAAATCAGTTTAATTTAAGAGTTTTGTTACACATGGGATAACGGTTTTTCGGGTTAAACCCAAAAAATCGTTAAAACGGACCGTTTACTGTGACATTCGACTTAAATTTAGGAGATCATTGTATTTAGACACGTGATCACTGGTCTCAAATCTTTCCCACGAGAACTGTCGTTTCAGTACCGCCCATTTCCTGCCAATCTAGTTAGGTTAAACCAATGTGCTGATAAAAATTGTCCGGTTAAAAGATGTCCGGATAAGAGGGAGTCTACATAGCATTCTTGGACATTGTCGCTGGCTGCTCCATCCTACCATCCACTGGAGTTGGCTCTATTGAGCCCAGATTGCAGTTTGATGTTGTATGATGGATGTGATTAGTGTTCGGGGAATGTGATGGAATAGAAGTTGTCGGCATTATACAAGGACCAGGGAAAGAAACAGATTGAGTGTTTCTATTTCTATTTATCCATTTATAAAGCTCTTCTCGTATATGATTATTAAATTCCTGGTAGCTCAATCCATTTTGTAAAGTTCTACTTGATTCTTCATCCTGTATTATTACTGTAATTGGCTTCCCAGTGGTATGATGCAATTGTACTAAGTTGTTGACAAAATTCTGAACACTAATATTATCCCTGACACACCCCATGGGTGAACACACTAGTCTCTTGTATTTCCTTAGCTTGAAATCCAACCCTCTATTAATTTACTTACTTATTAGTTTTGTAATCAGTTGTCTTTGGTTTCCCATTGTATGTTGTCTTGGTTACAACACCATACACTGCTGCTCCGTTTTCATGTTCTTGGAGTGTTAAGTACTTATTAAGTAGGTTGGTGGTCCTTGGTCTACCAAATGCTTTTCAGAAAGAAACAGCAACACCAGCTGTCATATTTCTGGGACTGCTTAGATCACCAGAAATAGAATGAGAGAACGCTACATTCCTGTTGCTCTTAAGACCATCCACAATGTCACTCATATTGGATTCCATTACAGTAGACTCCAAGTTTTAATTCTTTATTTACTGTATCTTTTAGTACTATGTCATATTTGATAGGTATAGTGGTCATAAATAAATGTGGGGCTTGTAGCACTTAGAATGGTAAGTTTTTTTAAATTCTGGTAGATGTCCTTTAAGTTATGATTTAGACTATCGTTGCTGCCTCCGAGGATTATAACGGGGCTAGAATCTTGTGTTATTGATGCTGAATCAACAACCTGAATCAGAGTTTTTGGTGTTCGCTCTGACATATCCAAAAACTAGGGATGGACGAGATTGAATTTTTAGTTCGAGACGAGATTTTTTATTTCTCATAAAATTTCGAGACGAGATCGAGACGGGATTTCCCTTCTCATACACAACGGGTAATGCACGTTCAAAATTTTTACCTGATTTTGTAACATTGTTAGATGACTGTTTAAATACAAAAATAATGATAATAGGCAAGAATATTTACAATCTTTTATTAAAAAACATCAGCATAACATTTTTTTATTAATCACGCCTAACTTGTTAAAAATGCCTACGATTAGGAAACATAGTGATTTCAGTTAGGATAGAGTTCAACTTATCGTAAAATAAAATAAATCATAAAATAAAAGCAATATTAATATTTATAAAATAGTTAGGTACTTGTTTTGACTTTTTATAGTAATAAAACATTCCTCACACTGCTTACACTTAACAAAACTTCTCAAATGTTATTAAAGTAATATTATTAAAATAATTAAAAATTAGAGTAATATTTACATTTAAAGAATTAATTAAATAAGAACTCCTTCGCAAAGGAAACGCAACTACAACACGCTCCTGTATTGCGGGTATTGCATTGACTTCCTGCAGGCGTTTTTAATTTATTTTTTTATTTTTTATTCTCGTCTCGATAAAAATCTCGGCCAAAAAGAAATCTTGTCTTGTGTAATGAGATTTAAAATTTCCCGAAATTTCGAGACTTGACCATCCCTACCAAAAACCTGAACTTTCTGATTACTTGAAGTTTCTAGCTTGATTGGTAAGTTTGCTCCTTGACTGCCTGAGCAGAATGTAACCTTTACGTCTGAAAGAGCATTTTTGTTTGGTCTATTTGTGTTTCATCTCAAAACAGCGGCTTTTCCTTTTTTGTAAACATTTTTAGGGACATTATTTAATTTATTCTCATTTATACAGCTAGGTGACGAAAATGTATCTTTGTTTCCAGACAAGCTGTCCAAAACTGAATATTTGTTAACATGAGTAACATTGATGTTTGCTACTGTGTGTGTTCTTTTTTCACTTTGCGACGCTACTTTCTGCACTGTAAAAATATTAAAAGTACAGTCGCAACCGTTTGCCGGGATAGCTCAGCCTACGATGGCTGGGTAAAGTTCCAGGGTCTGCGATAAGGTCTAGGGAAAATAACTCATTACAACTTTTTTGCCCACTGTTTGGTTTATTATTTTTCCTTTGCCGAACCGATGACCATTCCTATATTTTCAGTCATAAAAAAATATATATTTGATTTTTTCTGGTATGTTGTTTACTTCTAGTGGAGATACATTTATTATTTGATTGCTTTGTGTAGGATGTGGGTATGTCAATTAAAGACAAGAGTCGTCATGTGCTGCAACAGAGAGCTCTGGTGTCAAAGTTCCTACATTACAGTCTTGCAGAGCCCAAGGATAAAGACAATGAGCCTGTAACTGCAGATGAGCCTAGCGTGAGCAACAACCAGCAGGACTTCCTAGCGAATGTGAGTATATCACATTATGTGCACATCCTATCAACCCTCTAAAGCAGGAAACCCCCTAGTCCGACACTCTCCGACACGACACCATCCAACAAGTCCCCGACACCTTCTGATGCCTTCCGCACTTTTTAAGGCAATAACCCATTGGTCCAACGGGCTCTGTCAGTAACCGACAAGAAATTAGATATTTCAGGCTTTTTTGTAAATTTTTTTGGCTGCTAGAGTAGTAAAAGAGGTAATTATTCATCCGATGGTTCTTTGTTCGCATAATCTTTTTTATAATAGTTGGGTCCACAATTTAAGAACCAATCACCACTTAAATGCATAGTACATTTGCATCATTGAAAGCATCAGAATATGTTCAGGCAGCTTTTATAACGTACTGTATAAAGAAAGGGATGTTCCCAAACTGCTTCTATCAAACGTTCTTCAATACTCATGTCACACACAAAGCTTGTACAGAAAGCACAAAGCTGTCTAGCTCTAATCTAGGTCTGGTGTACGCAGAGTGGAGAAATGTCGGAGCCCAAAAGGATTTTTGAGATAAGAATATGCCTATATGTTAATTGGGAATGTGAGCTATCATCATGCCAAATTTCAGCCCAATCCGACCAGTATTTTTCGTGTTTACTTGTCACAAACATACATACATACATCCGATACATCCAAACTTTCTCATTTATAATATTAGTAGGATTGTGCATTACTCTTGAAGTATACCAGAATTTTATAAATGTAAAGTGAAGGCATTGTTAACATTCCATATGTTTCAAAAAGCGGTTTTCATGACTTTTTTTGTGTGTAAATTATAAGATTCTTAAAAACTTCTTTTGTATCTTAAAAATAGTTGAGGCATATGATGTTGAGCCCCATAACTCAATAACCATATTGCATAATGGAAAAAAATGGCATAATAAACTATGACCTTTGTTTTAGAATCTATTATGTTTCTTAAAACATACATCTGGAAACAAGCTGTATTTAATTTTTTGGCTAATATTTCAATGTGACGTTTCCATGTCAAATTTTTAAATGTCAATATTTAAGCCTAAAAATTTTGTTTGTTCGACAAAAGCTAAAATATCATTTTCATATGGTAATTCAAAAATTATGTTTTGCTTATTTTGTAGTGTTTGGAATTGCATAATATGTGTTTTAGAATTATTAAGTTTTAAACCATTTGCCGCAAACCAGTTAGTTAAGTCTACAATGGAACGATCAAGCTCTAATCTAAGAGTATGTACATCATTTGCTTTTACTATTGCTGTAGTGTTTTATGTATCGCATAGAAGTTTTAAATATGTTACATACTGATCATTGAACGCCTTGAACGCATTGGTATCTTGAATCCTATTAGCGCTACAATAAATGTCCGATCCTATATTATATGTTAATATCTTGTTGACCGAGCGGTGCTAGGGGGGAAATCAGTTTTATCGTTTTGGATTTTTTAAATAAAGCATAGTTTATACCATGAGCAATTTGTAATTAATTGTATTAGGTTTGCCCTGATTTCGAGTAAATAATTTGTTTCAGTTATCTATATGCATTAAGAGTAAATAATCGAATGATTTGAGACAAAAATACCCCGCAGCAGCAAACCTGCTGACTAAGCGAATTTATAATTGTCTGATTTGGTTTTCAATCAAATCCATTTAAATAACATTATGTTAAATGAGTACCTTGGTTTACTGCAACAGGGAGGCTAAAAAAGTGTTTTTTTGTTAAATAATAATAGCTTAACACGTTTGCTACTGCAATAGTACAAAATTTTCCATTCACATGGACCAGCGACGCACATATGCGACGGCCGGTTTCCACCCATAGACTGCCGACGCATATTTACGTCGGGGTTCTAATGTTATTAAAATGCTTATATCTTTGTAGTGGTCTATTTGAAGGCACTGAATTCCCTGCAGTGGTCTACAGAGATGTCTGACGCACAACTGCGTCGCTTGGTCTGTGGATATGATGATTGGTGACGTCATATAATAGTTGGAAAAACTGGTCTTTACTTTTCTGCATCACTGTTTGTATGTATGCAGTATGTATGCTGCATTATCCTATGTAGCTTTTATATTTGTTCAGTTATAAACTGTTCTTGAATAATCTGTTTATTTTTTTACTTACTTTCACCTTAAAACACAAAAAATGAACTGTCGCATATATGCGACGTTTAGCCTATTTTAAGAAAACTATGATAATTTTCACTATTGTCTTCGCTGTAGACCGGGTGTCGCAAATATGCGACATTACTAAAGGTTATAAAAAATACAAAAAAAGAATAATTTATTTACAAACACGATTGTAGCGTATTACAATGTAAATGATCAAACTGTTTTACAGGTTTTCGCCCGTGGTCTGTGTGTACTGTTATCCAAGTGACAGACGGTCTATGTGTAAGATTCAAATGTATACCTCGGTCTGTGGCAATGACCACGGCGTCGCATATATGCGACGCTCAGTATCGAACGTGTTAACATAAAATAAATAGATTTACTAAGATTTATCAATATATATCCATAAACATGCTAATTACAATATTGTACAGTATTCTCCATAAGAATAACATGGGAATTTTTAATTTACAATTTTTTTTTTAATTTTCTTCGTCACCAATAACCGTACCAAAAACACTTTGATATACTAAATTATTTGTTTTTAAGCTCTTTGTAAAGGTCTAGAGAAAAATTGGGAAATTTGATGTTTTGAGGGTCAAAAATGAGAAAAACTATTTTTACTAGGGATGGACGAGATTGGATTTTTAGTTCGAGACGAGACGAGACGAGATTTTTTATTTCTCATAAAATTTCGAGACGAGATTTCTCTTCTCATACACAACGGGAAATGCATGTTCGAAATTTTTACCTGATTTTGTAACATTGTTAGATGACTGTTTAAATACTAAAATAATGATAATAGGCAAGAATATTTACAATCTTTCATTAAGTAACATCAGCATAACATTTTTTTATTAATCACGCCTAACTTATTAAAAATGCCTACGATTAGGAAACATGGTGATATCAGTTAGGATAGAGTTCAACTTATCCTAAAATAAAATAAATCATAAAATAAAAGCAATATTAATTTTTATAAAATAGTTACTTGTTTTGACTTTTTTATAGTAATAAAACATTCCTCACACTGCTTACACTTAACAAAACTTCTCAAATGTTATTAAAGTAATATTATTAAAATAATGAAAGTAATATTTACATTAAAAGAATTAATTAAATAAGAACGCCTTCGAAAAGGAAACGCAACTACAACACGCGCCTGTATTGCGGGTATTGCATTGACTTTCTGCAGGCGTTTTTAATTTTTTTTTTTTATTCTCGTCTCGATAAAAATCTTGGCCAAAAAGTAATCTTGTCTCGTGTAACGAGATTGAAAATTTCCCGAAATTTCGAGACTTGACCATCCCTAATTTTTACCCAATAAAACCCCGTTCGCATGGTCCGATCATGCTGGTTCGCGAACTCATTCAAGTTTATCCAGCCCTACACCTTTGAATTCTTCAAAATCGGACAAAAATTACTTGCGTTCATGGACATAATAGTAGCCTACCTAGTAACAAAAAAAGTAAGGAAAAAATAAATAAAATGGTGTTTTGTTATTGTTTTTATTTATACCGTACTAGCTGTTGTACCCATGCTTCGCAACGGAAAGGACACTGAAGCAAAAAAATTTGAACTTGAATTATGTTGTATAAAATAGTTACACATTCCCCTTTGGTTTCAGGAACATAACTCAATTGAAACTCTTAGTTTGACAAATATCTTTCTTTAAGGCTAGGCTAACCTATAAGCAACCTAGTACGAATTACATGAGGTGCTGATGCATTTATGGAAATAATGTACCCATACGATTCAATTTTCAAATGATAAGCTTTCTTAAACATTTATATTTCGTTCATAAACGTACATATAAAGTAAATAAGGAAAAATAATCGCACAACATAAAGCACTGTAGTAAAGAAAAAAAATAGAGTTTATATTGATTTCACATATAATTGTTATGTTTTACCGTAGCTAATATAATGAGCTTTTTTCAAAGTTAAATCTTTACCTGCAGATCAGTGTGTATATATCAAAATAATAAGCAAAAATTAACTAATGGAAAACTTGTATTACCTTTTGTTAGAAAGCCTACCACTATTATTGTTAATCAGGGCACAAATTTCACCAATTTAAATATAAATCAACAACGAAATACACAACAGTAATTATTTTAACTCGTTCCATAGTTCAAAACGTGTATGTATTTGTATTAAATTACATCATTATTTAAAACATCAAGTAAAGAAACATAGTTACAGTACTTTGTTTGAAGTTCATTGTTGGTGATGGTGAGTTAATGTTGTTCAAAGGTTTATTGCGGACATTTTCCATCACGAAAGTAAAAAACAATACACAACGTTTCGGGATCTGGAATCTGATCCCGTCTTCAGGTGAAAAAACTTAACTAACACATTAATCGTATGAATTTTGAAGAGGCAAAAATTGTCCATAAGGAACCTCATTTTTTCAAACGTAAACTCATTGAAGCCTCATACATTAAATTAGCAGACCAACCAATCAGTCAGTCATCGGTTGAAATAAGGCCACTTTGGCTACCCATTTTGAACAAGGAACTAAAGGATAGGGAACTTAATTGTTCAATAAATAGGGAAATAACGAGTTCTCCTCAAAATTCGCACGTTATGTTAACTCGTAGTAAAACTCGTGATAGGAATAAACATAATTAACACCCATCTTGCGGCATCGTACATCGCTCCGCCATTCTGTTGGTTTTACTTTTCCAGGGACCGGAAGCCATTTCTGTTGTCTCCGTGTTTCCGATTGGTCAGCCATGTTGGTTCAGTTTCATTGGTGGAGTCATAGCGTACGGTGTTGTTAGTGTTCCATTGTGTGAGTTTTTTGTACGTAAACCTTTTATAGATTATAGTGTTTTGTGATTTGTTATTAATTGCATGTTGTATCATGACTTGACTGCTATAC